TGGCGGGGGCGGCGGCGGCGGCGGCAAGAACTGAGCGTACTGAGTCTGCGTCGCCGAAGCTCGAAAATGCTGTCGGTAAGGGCAGTTCCTGTCGGAACAATCATCCTTCGGCTCCTCGACGCAGCTGCAACTGCAGCCGCCGTCCGGTGGGGGCAGGGAAGTCCTAGTGGCCGTGCGCTGCAGTGGCGCGCCCAGCCCCCCGCCCATGCCACCGCCCATTCCTCCGCCCATGCCCCCGCCCAACCCCGCACCGAAGGCCGAGGGCGACGAGGCGGGCCGCGGGGGCGCCATGGCGCTGAGCGTGGGCCTGAGCGTCGGCCCCGGTGCCCGTGACAGCGACCCCGGCAGCGGCGCGGACTGGGACTGGTCCAGCTGACAGGGAAAGGGTTGAGGAAGAAGGGTCCTGCCGCGGCCCGGGCTGGCAGCTGCAGGTGAACACGTCCGGGCCCTACCGGCTGGTTGTTCAGCTCGGCCCGAAAGTTGTAGTTCGGCTGCGCGCCCGGCGGTGTCGGCAGCAGCTCCAGGCTCACCACCACCCGCACCTTGGGGCAGGCCACCAGCGTTAGAATGTTTGTGTAAGAGACAAGACTCGGGGCCCCCTGCTGCTACTGCTGCCTCGGGAAAACCTCCGGGGGCTACCGAGTGGAGCTCTGGTCGCGCCCGGTCATCAGGGCTGCGTGCGAACGTGTCGTGCCTCGGTACACTCTCCGTCTCCTGTCTCCTCCGTACGGCGGTTCTCGGACCCGGCCCAGCTGTCAGGCACTCTGTCTCAGCCATCGAAAGTGGCACTGGGATTCAGCGAAGTCACGCTTGGTAACCAACGCGCGCGCGCTGCCCACACACGGATTGCCTCGTCCTCTACACATTTACACTGCCGAGGGATGGGGAGGGGGCCGTGTTGTCGTTTACAGTCGAGGGAACCGTCTTTGTCCTTTTAATTACAGACGAAAATAAATAACACGGAATCCCTTTTTGCGGGAATCGTTCGTCCGCAGTCGTCCAGTCCCCGTCGGGCGGGACCCGCCCCCGCGCCCCTCACCTGTCGGCAGCCGTCTTTGTCGCCCATGGCTGCTGCGCGCTGACGCCCTTCGCGACGCGAGCCCCCGCGAGCTGCACCACGGTTGCGGGGCAACCGCTGATTTGGTTGTCGGCCCGCGCGCCGGCCCCCGACGCCTGCCCTGCTCTTGGTGTGTACTACCCGGCTCCACGGCACTGCTGCAGACGCATGGGCGCAGGCCCCGATATGCAGCCCGGAGGCCCTTCAGAGGCAAATTAACCCTATCCACTTGCTCTACACATGAATGGGCGGCTGCTCTCGCCCGCACACCCGCCCTCCGCACCGGGGCCGGTCAGCGCGACGTCACGGGTTCAAGCCCCAGCCCGGGCGCGCAACATCGCGTCCACGTCCTTGGCGGCGTCGCGCCCCTGACGCAGAAGCGTGTCCTCCGGGCAAACCCGCCCCGCCTCGGCTGCTCCGGCTCGCCACGCCTCTGAGCGCCGTACGCACTGTCGTGGCCGCCGCGACTGGGCAAACCCCAGGCAGGACCCCAGCCCGGGGGCTGGTCCCCGTAAGCGTAAGCCCCTTCCCGCCCGGCCCGCCCCTGGCGGTCAGCAGTGCGTGGTCCCCCCGCCGCCGTGGGCTCCCCGTCCGGCCCCGCCACGGCCCGGCCGCCCCTCCCCGCGAGAGAGAGGGGTAGGGCCGCACCACCGCGATATCCAACCCTCGGCATACCGCGCAATTAGACTTAGCGCCTCGCCGGCCGGCTTGTGCGTGTTATCCCTCCAACCCGGAGCGGGGGAGCCAGAAGAAAGCAGGGTCAACGGCCTGGCTCTCGCCCGGCTGAGCGAGGCGGGGCGGGGCGGACCGGCCCAGGTGGGATTAGCGCCGCGAAGCACCCCCTCCCGCCCCCGTCACAGGCGCCACCCGCACCCGCCCCCGTCTGGCGGCCCGAGTATCACGAAATAGGAACGATGACGCAACACGCTCGCCGGCTAAGTCTCGCTCCAGGACCAGTAATCTGGATTTAAACTGCATGGTTCACGTGTAAACAGTATGCATTCCCGGTATGACTTCTTTATGACAACCCTGCCGAGCAGCACTGCGCATAGGTGGTACTAAAAGACTCGCTCTCTTTCGCGGGTGACGAAAGACTTTCCTACTTACAGGGCAGCTACCTGAATACGCTGTCAGAAAAAATTAAATAAACGAGTCCCTGCTGCCTTGTTTTCGAGGAGAAGCGAGGCACGTTTTCTCCGTCGGAAGGGACAGTCTTGGGGACTGTCTAAAAAGAACACTGCGACACTGCACTGAGGACAGCTGAGGCCGAAATCTTGCCCAAATGGTTAAAAGTGCGCAGTTATACCGGCGCCTGCCGGCTGGTCCAAGTACAGCTGAGCGACTTACCTGTCTTCTCGGTTAGGCCGCGCCACAGTCGTCTCTCAAGT